TGCTTACAAATATAAATCTAAAAGAAATCTCCGCCTGTCTAAAAATACGATACTTCCTAGTTTACATCTAAATATGTGGTAATATACACCTTCAATAATAGGCATTTGCTTACTACTCGCTTCATTACAAGGCCATTAAGGCAAAGATGCCACCAGACCGTGGTGATCATGCTGTGATGATAATACCGATGCCACATGCAAATATTTTGATCGGCTCTTGTAATTTGATGCGCAATAAATCGGCGTTTCCCACCTACAAAAGGAAAAAAAAACAGAGGCGGGTGAAAATACACACAATAACACACACCGAAAACAACAAAAAGCGAAGTTAGAGCCAAACATTTTCATTAAGCGGACAACGCATGACACCCACAACTTCGATGCTGTTTGCTCGCTCATAAGAAGCGGGCTCATAATTCATTGAGCCAATAGCTACAAGCATTTGGCATCTGCTGTGCCACAAAAACAAATCCCTAAAACGCTGAATGAAATATTCGGGGCTTTGCCTTACCAATTTTCGCACAAGTGCCAAGTGCCACAGCCAACGACACCGGATTATAAAATCTCTTCTTCTCGCTTATAAATACCAATACCCCACTAACCGAACGCACAAAGCACCGAAAACCGAAAAAATCTCGAGCTGTCGAATTTCGCGCTGTGACTTCTTCAGATGTTTAGCTCAAATTTGCATTTGTCCCCGTGCAATGGTATGCATTCCTCTTTTAATTAGTGAACTCTGATCACTGATATGGGAACTTGGCTCGAAACTTATTGACATTATTGCTAATTAGCAAACGAAAACAAATATGGAGAACAGGTGTCCTATGGTTCGTGATTATAACCAAAATCTAACGAGATTATTTTTTCTTTAAAAAAAACGATGTGAAGAGAGAATGAACGATTAGGTCTGAAGAGTTAAGAATTCTTAAATAAATCCGGATCTAAAAAAAACCCAAAAAAAAGGTAATGATTTAGTTCCGGTTTCGCAGAATTCTTTTGATTCAATTCACACATTCTATATAATTTTATTTTAGTTCATTCCTCTTGAACTCTGACTTATGTAGGCTATTTTTAGAACTTCGACAGAATAAAGGGGAATTTTACTTTTAGCATGCTCTGCAAGATGGAATTTGGATTACCTTTAGGTATTTTCGGGTTATCCATTACCCGACAAAGAAATTTGCGAAAATAAATCTTATTTTTATGGATTTATGTTAAAATAGAATATACACATTTTTAAGGGATTTTAATTGTTATTGAACTCCATACCGTTCTTACAAATGAAAAGCCATTTAAATGTGTTTACCTCTCAACTTTTTATTTGTTTTGGATTTTAAAGAGGAAAAGAAAAATCTCCTCCTTTTTCCACTCCAATGGTAACTATGATCTTTCACCATCGGCAACCGCCCCCACCTGGCAAACTAATCAACTCAGCTTGAAGTGCAACTGCATGTAGCATCTGGCCATCCAGTTAGCCAAGTTAACCAAGTTCAGGAGCCAATGGCCATATGAATGGCAATCGGCTGGGCCGTCTTTGCGGGGCAATCAAGTGAGAAAATTAAAATTACATGACCATGGTTTCGACTGCGGATCCAGGGATCCCACATTTAAAGGTTCATAACTTCCAAGTCAATTACGCGATGCGCCCGCTGCGAGACTCTTGCCTGGACCTGGATTCTGGATTCTGAATTCTCGACTCTGGGATTCCTGGCATGTGAATTAGAAAAATTGCACGCTCAAGTGGAAGAGAGGACCTTATGGTCTAGTCTGGTCAGGTCCAGTCCAACTCAGTCCGGTTCGGTCCATACTGTTCTGTCTGACTGACTGACATAACTCACGAGTGGCAGACGCAGAAGCAGACGTAAATGCAGATACACTGATGCAAATAAAAACACAGATACGGCCTCCGCATTTAACCGCTGCTCCGTTGCAGGTGAACTAGACAAGCAGGAGCAGATCCTCAAGAGCACTCCACAAATAAAAGGGACTACTGTGGGAATCATGCCGATCTTGCCAGAACACAAGCCAACTGGCTCGCCATCAGCGAATTAATTTGTGACGCGCGCTCTCCACGAAGCTCCTCCGATATTCCCTTCTGGTCCACAAAATCCCCAAAGACCCATGGTCATACCCCAACCCAAGACCATCTTCATCGCCAGCCAACCCAGTCCAGTTCCAGGTTCCCAGTTGCAGTCGAGGAGCCATGGCCTGGAGGCAATTTACTCTCTTTGCTCGGTGGTGCACGCTGTGGTAGCCAAACTCGTGACTGCAACAATGCACTGTGGTACGGGGCTTTTCTTAAATTAAATAATTATGTCCTTATATGAAAACTAAAAAGGAAAAAGATATGACTTTAATAAAACGTAAGCTGCTTTTAATAAAACCACAGCCACTCTAGCAAAATTTGAATATATGGTAAACTTTTGTTGAGCGTTGATTTTTTCAAATTACAATATAATTTAATATAAAATATAATTTTATTGTTCTGCCAAAATCTCCAGAAAAAATTGTATATATCTAACAATGGTCTGCTATTCTAGTGCTAATGCTTTTTTGATATTTTTCCTCAAATTTTTGTAAGTTTTAAGCCACTGTGCAGTGCTCGTCTTCGTCATCGTCGTGTGGCAAGTGGCTGCTGCTTGACTGCAGTTGCAGTTTTGGCCTCTGCTCAAGCTTCATCTGCTCAAGCTTCTTCGGGGCCCTCGTCTTCTGGACCCTGGACACCCCACACCCCATCTACTCCTCTGCCTCTTTTTGGGGGCATCATCTTGGCGGCTTTGACGCTGGTGTCAAACGTTTTGTAATCTGTCACGTCGCATCGTTTTAATATTTGTGCGCTCATGGCCCAAGTACGAGGAAATGCACTCCGCTGCGTGTAAAAATAGGCGTAACCCTTTGGTATTTATGGTCTGGCTGGCTGACTGGATGATCCGACTTTTGCCGCATCTCTGCCAGTCTCTACAGTCTGCACTGGAGCAGGAACACAGTGAAGCATCCGCGACGGCGCTCCCCGGTCGTTTTGTTTGGTTTTCAGCAACAGAATCAGATGCCTTTGGGCTCTTTCGCTGGTAGTAGCAACAGGTTCAAGTGCTTCGCATTGCTGGTTGGTCTGGTGGCTTTGGGCCGGCTCCTTGCTTTCTGCCACTCTTTGATTATCTAAATCATTATTAGTTTGACCTTCAGCCCCGGGCTGGATCTGCGCTCGTGCAAGTGCTTTTACTTATCTTATTAATTATTTGCTCTTTATTGCGAGTGGAATGGGTCGCTGGACTACTGTGCGTATGAGTCATCTGAGAAAGGCCGATGGGAAAAGTGGGTAAAATAAAAGAATGTGAAGTGGTGGGAAGAGAAGTTAAAGATAGTTGTTGGAAAGGGGAAGAAAATTAATTAAAGATAAACGCCTATTTGTACAATAATGGTATTGCAGTAAGATAGTAGTTTTATAAAAGACTAAGTTATAAAATCTGTAACAAGAGCTCAGACTACAGTTTTAGACTCTTTGGAATATAAATAAAACTAAAAAGTGTAGGGGCTATTACTCAGTATCGTATTAATGCTTATATTTTAATACTATCTGTTGTTTATTTTTAAGTCACACTAATTAAAATGAACTTGGTTGTAGACGTGATTACACTAAAATTCCGCAAAATAAAGGAAAATTATTGTTGTTTAAATATGTTAACTAAAATATATTCTCCAAATTCAAGTAATTCTCCTTTTGTAAGGTAGGTTTATAAAACAGGTTCATAAAGAAAGAATTGAGAAAAGACAACATACCATATTTAACAAAGAACAATATCCAGAACCCAGGAAATCACTTCGAAAAACGGCTGACTGACAGCTGAATCGTCTCAGAGATCCTTCACCTTGTTCCGTTATAATTAGCCAACGCTAATTACCACTTTCGCGAAGACCACCAGAACATTGACCCACTGAACAGGCTCAAAAGCGAGAAGGCCGCCCCATTCAAATTCGATTCCCACCAGCTGTCCGTAGGGCATTCATCACGCATCTCAGCGCGTAATTTGCCAACCCTACTCAAAAGATACAACCATGTCGGTCATGTGGATCCCAAAGATACAGTAGTTAGCCATTACAATGCCTGACAACCGTTAATCAGGCGCCACAAATCAGAAGAGAGCGAGAATAAATATATATATTGCACTATATAGGGGGGGAATTTTCCCTGCTCTCTGATTGGATGGACGCCAGAATGGAGCAGCTATATTTAAATCGAGAGAAAATGGCGCTGCAGCATTTGTGATTTTCCATTCACTCGCCGGTTTCGTGATGGCATCCGCTTCCCATGACTGCTCCTTTGTCTCTGCGCGAAAATATTGACACGAGCAGCCCCGATTTTGCACGCGTATGAGAATGGATAAGCTAAATACACCCGTAAGTACCCACCAGCAGTAAATCATTGTGTGTGCCAGTCAGCTAAAGTGCCCCAATTGCCGCCGAGGATGCGTGGGTGTTGGGATCGTGTTGATTGTGTGATCGTGTTAATTGCCCCAGACTCAATCAGGTGGAATGGAATATTTATAAGGTTGGGCAATCGATTAGACAAAATCCGAATTCATGTATATTCACATCAATCCGCGGTGCTAATTGAGTTTGAGACTGCGAAAAGAACTGGACAAAGGCGGAAGTGATCGTGACTGCCGAAAAATGGAGTCCCCACAGATGTAAGGGTACCGATATAGGTGTAACTTTATTTGAAGAATGCATTGTTCAATAAAATCAATCATAATTTGGGGGATAATCTACAGAAATATGTCTAAAGACATCCGACTTGTGTTTTTCTTCAATATTTTATTTATGTAAGGGATTCCTTTATTTTTAATTTCAATATCCGGAGCACAATGTTTGTTAACTCTATCAATGTACCTTTCAGGTTTATCAGATTTTAGATTTTACCATTTACCTTCTTTTGCACCTTTCAATTAATTACATCTTAATCTAAAACTTTCAAGTTTTTATACCTTCTATATATCTTTCAGATGATCCTTTTACAACCTTCCAAGCTTCTGATGTATCTGCTTTTTATTCCTATTCTTTTTATAAAAGCACAAAGTCTTAACAATATTATAAATGAGCTAAACAAACGTCTACTTATATCCACAAACTTTTTGTACTGCAACCAAACCGATAAGCTTTACAAATACGAGTACAAGTATCTGCGACATTTGCCACTCATCAGCCTTATGATCTTTACCTCAACCTTTAACGTCACCCAGCTTGAATATAATTTGGGAGCTGAAAACAAACTCTTTTTGATCTTGGGCATCGAAGAACCGCCCTATGATATATTTCACACTTTGGACCTACACTTACAGACAGCTGAATATATAATGGTTATAGATGAACCTTTGGATTTGAAAAGGGAAACCAAGTGGTTAGAATTTGTAAGGCACCTTTGGCAACTTGGCTATGTTCACTTGCTGTTTTACACCTCTTTTGATGAGAAATTATATCACAAAATCATATTCCCCAAGTTGCTGATAGAGGAGTCTACCATAGAGCACTATATATCGATTCGAGGATCGTTTAGGAACCTACATGGATATCCGGTTCGTGTGGCTGCCTATAATAATACCCCACGCACCTTGATCTATGTGAATCGGTGGGGCAAAGAGGTATTTGCCGGCTTCTATATGAGATTTATTCGTGCCTTTATAGGCTCGATAAATGGCAGCTTTGTGCCAATAAGAACTCCAAGTAATTCTCCTGGAAATTGTACATTGAATTTGCAAAATGGAACAGTGGATGTTTGTGCAGATGCCTTGGCAGCTAATACTTCCGCCTTCAGTTTGACCCATGGATTCCGGTTAGCCTCGGCCAATGTTTTTGTAACTCATGCCAAACCTCTGCACTCCTATCGATATCTAACCGCTCCGTTTCAATGGAGTGTATGGCTCTGTTTGGCTGCCTATGTGATCCTGGTGGTGGGCTTCCTCAGCTTTATTTACTGGCTAAGAATTGGAAAATGGGACGTGAGTAGATATCTCCTCGAGGTCTTCAGCTCGCTTTTATTCAGTGGATTCTGCCTAAAGAATATTCAAGGCAAAGAGAGATACATTCTCTTTGGAGTTTTGTTCGTAGCTGGATTTGTCTACTCCACTGAGTATCTGGGTTTACTGAAAAGCATCCTTATTTCGGAGGTATTCGAGAAGCAGATCGATAACTTTGAGGCATTGGTAGAGAGCAATATAACATTGATGGTTGATCCATATGACCTGAAATTATTCGCCAAGTACAACATGCCTAAGATACTTTTCTCCATAATGGAGAATGTATCTTTTGAGACGCTCTTGGAGCACAGGAATCGTTTCGATCAGAACTATGCCTATATACTTTTTACGGATCGAATGGCCTTGTATGACTATGCCCAGCAGTTCTTGAAGCATCCGAAGTTGTTGAGAATACCCATTGACTTTTCGTTCCTCTACACTGGCATTCCAATGCGAAAGAGTTGGTTTCTGAAGGACCATTTGGGACGGGCCTGGTACCGTGCCTTCGAGAGCGGACTTACGAGGAAACTTGCCTTGGACGCCGACTTCGAGGCGGTTCGCGTGGGCTATCTTAAGTTTCTCACCACGGAGCATGTGGAGGCACAACCCCTGGATGTGGATTATTTCGTCATGCCGGCCATTGCTCTGGCCATCGGCTACAGCCTGGCCCTTTTCAGTTTTGTCATCGAGATGACGGCCTGGCGCATGAACGGATTATTCCTGGGACGCAAAACCCAGTCGCGGATGAAGATCAAGATGGAGACAAGTGAAGGTTGATGTTGATTGAGTGACGAATTGATGTTATGTTTTGCTGCTTTACAAGTTATATTTCTACATACTTCATGTCGTAAAGTCTTTACACAAACAAATCACACTTTCTTTTTACGCTTACTGTGGAGATCAAAAAGTTTAGCACAAGGTACCCCAAAAAAATTGTTTTAAAATCAAAAAAGTCTTAGACTTAATTTATAAAATAAGAAATATTATTAACAGACATACATTTAATGTTCCAGAATGCGCCAGAAAAATAAACAAAAATGTTTTATAAGAAATATATATGTCCTTTCATGCTTATAAAATCAGAAAAGTCTTAGACTAAATTTATAAAATAAGAAAAATTATTACTAGATAAAGATTTAATATTACTCAGGAAAACTTATGAAAAAATATTTATATAAATATTAAAAGATATATACATCCCTTCTTTATGTAAGTTTTTTAAAACTATCATAGCCTTCATACTCAAATTGCAATACAGAAAATGCTTATAACACAGTAAGGTCTTAGACTACACAACGCATAAGCAACTTAAAAAAAAAATTTTTCTTATAAATATTATAACAGTCATATATATTCTTTCTTTATGTAAGTAATTTTAAAACTAACATAGCCTTCTTATTCAAATTGCATTACAGATCTCATAAAATGATAATCAAGTATAAAAGTTTAGTTATTTTCAAAAAAACAGTATTTAATAAGCTAGAACATGTTAAATACTTACTGTATACTTCCGTAAAATCTCTTTTTATTTTTCAGATGATTTTCTTCTCAAAATATCTCACTTTGCTGTTTCTTGTGACCATCCAAGCAGATTTTATAATGGGAGAAAGCTTGCCAAATATTATAAACGAGCTCAACGAACGCCTTAGTATCTCCACAAATATTTTTTTCTGCAAGCATATGGATACATTAAAGGCATTAAAATCGCCCATCTCAAGAATGATTTACAGCTCCTCGGAATTCTTTAATGTAACCAGCTTAAGAAACGATTTGGGAAATGAATATAAGCTTTTCATAATAATGGGAAATGATCCACCATATGAACTTTTGCAAAAGTTTGAATTGCGCTTTCAACTTGCTGATTTTCTGCTTGTGATCGACAATAAAATGGAAGAGGACAAATGGGAGCCATTTATACATTTCGCTTGGCGGCTTGGATATGTTAAAATTTTAATTCATTCCACTTTCAGTGGAATTTCCTATGATAAAATGTTATTTCCCAAAATATGGATAAAAGAAACTACAATAGAAGACTATGCCTACTTTCAGGACACCTTTCAAAATATTTATCGCTTTAAGGTTCGTGTGGCGGTCTACAACAATGTTCCTAGAAGTTTCATATATTTAGATGGCAGTGGCAAGAAGATATATGCCGGATACTTTTTGAGATTTGTAAAAAACTTTTTGGAATTCAGGAATGCTACTTTTCAGCCAGTTCAAACACCCAATGATTCACCCCTAAATTGCACTAATTTTCTTCGGAATAATACGGTGGATATGTGCGCAGATGCTTTGGTTCGGAATCCAGATGTTTTTGCCCTTACTAAAGCGATTAGAATCCAACCTGCCACTGTGATTGTGCCTCATGCTAAATCCCTAAGTTCTTACCGATACTTAACTGCTCCATTTAAGACCATAGTTTGGTGCTATTTGGCCATGTATGTTATTCTGATTTCGGGATTTATTTGCCTGATACATTTGACAAAAAGTGGAAGATGTGACTTTAGTCAAATTCTCCTCGATGTCTTCAGTTCACTTTTATACCTTAGTTTTCAATTGAAAGCAATACAAGGAGTAGAGCGAACAATATTGTTTGTTGTGTTGCTTATAGCAGGATTTGTTTACTCCACCATGTACTTGGGTTTGCTCAAAAGTATGCTTATATCAGAGGTCTTTGAGAAGCAAATTGAATCCTTTGAGGAGCTGGCTGAGAGAAATGTGTCAGTCCTTATTGATCCCTATGATCGGATTCTATTTATGAAGCATCATATTCCACGACCCCTTTGGAACGTCATAGAAACCGTACCTACAGAAACTTTACACAATCATCGGAATAATTTTAATCAGGATTACGCATATGTGATGTTTCCAGATCGCATGGCATTGTTTGTATATGCGCAGCAATTCTTAAAACAACCAAAGTTTCTCCGCATTCCCAATAACTTTTGTTTTCTGTTCGCCGGATTTCCCATGAGCAAGAAGTGGTTCCTTAAACATCACCTAAGTAGAGCCTGGTTCCACGGATTCGAGAGCGGTCTGTTGGACAAAATGGCTAGGGATGCCAACAGGGAAGCCATACTTCAAGGACATCTCAAATTTCCCGTCACGAAACAGTGGGAGGCGGGTCCAATGGGCTTAGATTATTTCATAGTTCCAGCTTTTACTTTGGCTATGGGTTATTCTATTGCCATATTAACATTTGGAATTGAAGTTATTACCTGGAAAATATGCGACCATAAGGAATAAGAATATATGATGTTTAAAAAGTATTATACTTAAGTTTCGAATTGCTGTTTTATAATCTTGATGTTGTATTTACTCTACTTTTAGTCACATGTACACTTTTTGAACAATAAATAAAATAACAAAACAAAATATTTTAAACTCAGAATTTAAATTTATTTCAAACACCATACCGAGTAAGGATAGATTTTTAAAAATAAAATCACCTACAACCAAAGAAGACAGGTAAGTCTAAAATATCAAATGTTATGCCCTTGCTTATCTGCCCAATTTTCCTCGCAGCTTCGGGCATTATCCAAAAAAAATCCACCCACAGGCACCCCATAAAACCACGGAATAGAAACCACCCTGTGGTGTGGACCCCTTCAAAAATAAGTAGCACTTGAGATATTTCCAAAACATTTGCCAGCCAAGTCTCTAAGCAATTTGCCCAGCCGCCCATTGTATGCAGTCCGAATGATAACAGCTAAATAAGAAGTAAGGGGTGACTTGTCCCACAATGGAGCTGACTTGCACAAATATTTGCCGAAAATGGAATTTTTGAAAAGTGGCAAGAGAGTGGGTAGAATCCCGCCCCCATGAGTGGGTGGATTTTTCTACTGAGCAGCACATTTTAAAGTTCGTTGACACTTTCGACTGGCACATTTTTCGTGTGTTTTGTAGCTGTGGCGCCATTAAGTATGCAGCAGCAGCAATGTGGCGACAATAAAGTTTATGCTACGGCGCCATGGGCACAAAAAAAAGAATAGAAAGGAGTTGCAATAGCCAAGGATAAATAGATGGCCAAGAAAGAGCTCAGTGGGAGTTACAGCTGAAGATAAGTCGGCTGATCTGGGACACCATCAACAATTCACACAAATGATAGGCCATCCGTGCACTGCAAGAAAAGGAAAATACAATATACATAATTCTAAATGGGATGGGTACATGCAAAATTAAACATAAAAAATTAACCAAACTATTACTATTAGTACTAATTCTTTTATTATTATTTATCAAAAATCTGACCATGGTTTTAATTTGTGATATTAATATATATTGTTTTTATTATCTTTAAGACCCGTTCGTTTTGCCAAAAAAAATCTTTAATATTAAGTAATTGTAATTTTACAAAATTTGTTGTGCCAATTTTCTCTGTGTGTGGCACAGTTTCATGACAATGGAGTTGCCAACCAGTTTTTATCCCGGTTTGTAGGACTCCTCTTAATGAGTGGGAGGGTCATGTGCGTGCCTCGCATCCATATCGCAAAAACTGACGATAAACTCTCGCCCTTCAGCCGCTTTAATTGCCCAATTCGTGTGTTTTCAACGCGCCTCGAATCGAATCGAATCGAAGTGAATCGATTTCGTGATTGCTCGATTCGTATCGGCTTTAAAGTAAACATTTGTTTTCATCTGGGGGCGGCTTTTAATTAAGATTGCGTACGGCGATAAATGGCAAGTGTTGCAGGAGTTCCCTGAATCGCGTTTCAATTGAGGGTAAGTAAAGGGAATCCAACCTACTCTCCATTGTAGTTATTCCATTTTCGTGACTTTACCTTATAAAAATAATGTATTTTATTTGTAATATTTATTTAATCAGACATGGATATAGAGATTGCTTAAATTTTAAATATATATCACCTAAATTTTTATTTTATTTTTACCTAAATAAAGAAAAATTAATACCAATTTCAAAAAGAGCTCTCTAAAAAAAAGTAATAATTTAAAAATTTTTTTTGTTTCAAGAGATTTTGTACTAAAAAAAATGTTTGAATGTTAGTTTGTACTTTTGATTTGTTTTATGCTACAAAGAAATGTTGGAATGACCTAGTTAGTAAAGTATTTGCACAATCTAAAATATATATGATTTTATAATTATTTTTAATACTTATACCATTTAAGATGTGCCTACGTTCTAACTTGGTATTTTCAAATAACTACTTTACTTAGGATTTATTGCTTACATATTAATAACTAGTCCAGTTTGTTTTTATTAATGGTTTTGTAAAACCTTAAATTCACTTTAATCCAGGTTGCACTGCATTATATCCTCTTTCCCCATGTTACCACACTTTTCCGACTGGCAATTTCAATGCATCTGCTCCTGATCCGTCAACTCTTTTATCAGCCAGACAGGGCGACACCGTAAATCACCTGGGAAGCAGCAGACAAAAGGCCATCGACAACAATTGAGAGCTCGGACTGGTCCGGCATTGATACCAATATCTGATTGACTTCATGGATGCCGCACAAGCTTTTGTTCTCTTGGCCGGTTAATTGAAATGGCCGGGTAATTGTCGCTGCGCTTTTCAGCCTTTGCCATTTTTCAGGGGGCTGGGTGCAAAGTTAAACACTATTATTTAAATCAATGCCGCACACGCTTCCTTTTTTTTTTACGCCGCATCGCCACATGTACATATGAGATGGCAATTTATGGGCCATGCCTAATTGTCCGCACCGAACTTCAAAGTGGCCTCGCTCCTCGATCTTGGCCAAGTCGCAGTCCCAGTGGAATGCAATTATCGCGCTCCAAGTTATGCTAAGATAAATTGCCCCAAGTCCGGCACAGTCGGTGGAAATTGGCAACACTTTCCAGTCGTCTTTCGCGGTCATAAACTAAACAAAAACGAACGAGAGAAAAATATGAAACAAATTTGTGTGCCTTTTGGAGGGGAAAAAAAAAGAAGGAGATAAACCGCACGCAACTGACAATTGGCAATTTTTGGTTGATTCAGCAATTTATGGCAGCAAAAGGGGTCGGGGTGTGTCACTGGAAACATCGTCGGCATGACCAAAAGACCCATATTATAATCAGGGACAAAAGCCCAAATAGAAGGAGAACGTATATTTTTATTTGGTTAATTCCTGGATTCGAGTTCCCACTTGTTCGGTATAAGGTACAAAAAAATATTGTATTAAAGCTCAATAAACATAAAAATATAAATTGGTTAAGGTTTTGGGAAAGTTGTGGAGCATAAAATCATAGTACTTTGGAGGTTTGGGATCATAATTTGTTGATCTTATTGCCCAAAAAATATAATCGTCATTGTCTTCAAATTATAAAGTAACAAATTCTTATGCAATTAAATGTAGCCAAATATGCGTAATTTAATATTCGTTTATTTTTTTTTACTTCGAAAAACGAAAATTAAAATGCATAAATAGAAAAGGATTTAATTGATTATTTATTTCAGTTTTTCAAAGAAACTTAATAAAAATATTTTAAAATTTTTTTGATTTCCGGAAAGCGTTATCATCCTGTATATATTATGCCCAACCAACTTTCAATACCACCAATAAAAAGACTTCAGTTATGCTCTTATATATTTTTCGGAGATTTCAAGCTGTATTAAAATGAAATCCGTTGTTTAATTATTTTAATTTGACTTCATAAAAGTTTTGTCATCCGGTTTTATTTTGTCCTTACTCAAGTTTAAATACTACCTGGAAAAAGGCTCCCGAAGCCGTTGCTTATCGAATAAAGATCTCTGGCTGACATCCCCTGGAGCATTTGATGGCACTTTCGCTGGATGCCATTTGGCCGTGTCTTTGGGTCAGTCAGATGCTAAAAATAAAGAGTGAATAAAGGAAGCAAGCTGGCCGAACAACCGAACCGCGAAAAGAAACGCTGTCCAATTAAGCGCAACAAACAACTTTACGCCACATGCCACACAACAGGCGTTTATCGGGCAGTCAGATCAGATCGCAAACGATCGATTCGATCCCTGTTCCCTGTCCTCCGGATCCTCAACCTCAACCTCATTCCGGACCCGTTCGCAAACCTTCTCCTGTTCTGCATCACCCCACTATTGTAATGGCCAACGATTTGTCGCTGTCCGAGCCTCGGACACTGGCCCATAATGACAATCGTTGATCGTGCGGTCCCGATAAGATTGCTCAAAGATAAAGCGCCGATATCGGAACCCGAGGGTTTCAAAAAAAAGGGGCGATGGGCGGAGGCGACAGCAGCAGCATTTATGCTAATAAGTTGACATTTGACCACCATGACGAAATAATGAAACGATCAGGAGCCGTCAACGTGACAGGTACTTCAAAAAACATTACCATGGGGTTAATGTGGAATACAAAATTATATAAACATGACTTTATAATTTATACATTTAACACTTATACTTTTCTTTTAGAATTAAATTGTTTGTATGTAGTTATCTAAAATTTATCTAAAATTTTTTCTTGTTTTAATATATAGAATTCAAAAAAAATTACCAAGAACTTAATTAAAAAATTTAACTTTTTTAACATATCGGTGCTTTCTTGTCAATATATATCGCACCATTTCACAAACTTGTAATATATCCCTTTATTCCAAGCTGGTATTTGAATTGATATCTGGGACTGATTAGACCCACTGTGCACATGAGGCGTTTTGCCCGACAATCTTGACATTTGTTTTGACACAGGAGCAGCACCGCCGGCACCGCTGGCCATGATGATCACTAATTTCCTGGAATTTCACGCGCTCTCCTCGCTTATCAAGATGCAAATTTTGATCAACACTTATTGCATCTTCACACGATCTGAGCCGACTGCTTGTTAACTACCATTATGTGGTCTTAACTTGGTTGTGTTGCAAATGAATTTTAATTGTTGTACTTGTTGTTGCAGTTAATTAACAATAATTTACAAATTGCTTAGCATTCCATTTTAAATTTATTACATTTTTTACAAAGTAAAAAATATTAAACTAAGCTAAAGGCAACTACTCATCGTTAAATTTTAAACGATTTCTGCTGGTTTTTCTCCAATCGTCCCGTTGATCATTATTTTTATAATGGTTTTGTTTAAAGCCTCTAGAGCTCTGCTGATACGCTGTTGATCGCCTGTCTTGAAACCTGTCCTGACGATATTCACGATCCTGGCGAAATTTGTGGGAATAGGACCAGCTATTATCCTGATCATCGTGTTCTCTTCTACTAGAGTCTCGCCAATTTTGGCTTTGATATCTGCTATTTTTAAAGTTGCTCTGATAATCCTGATGGTGAAAGCGGTTGTCTTTTGAATAGTAGCGATTCTGTGAATGTTGTCTCGGACCTTCATAGCGCCAAGAATTTGTATAGGAATTTCCATATGGTTGGTCTTCTGAAATTTAAGCATATCAGGCATTTTTATTCATTGAATTCTTGTCTATAGTGCTGCCTTATTTTATAACTAGGAAGCATTAATGCATTAGGCACATATAAACATTTCTATGAAAATTATTTAAACTCAAATTTAAGGTGTTGACATGTTTAAATGTAATTTTGATTTATAATAAAATATTAGATATATTTTGCAACATATTTAGTATTCGCTTGATGTGCATATTATTTTAGTAAAATTAGTGAATATGAACGTACCGTAGTTGTAATTGTGATAACCTCTTGGTTTATGACTATCTTGCTGACGATAATTTCCATATTCCCTTCTGGACTGGTGTCTGCTGTTAAACTCATACCCTTCGTTATCGTCTTCTCTACTTGACGCCTCCCCTTGGCTAGAAAGTTTCGCCAAAGAACTCAAGTAATTCTCACGCTCGATTTTATGTCCACGTGCCGCAGAAAAGTCTGCGGATCATATAGAGGGTAAGAATAAGTAAAGTGTATTTCAAGGATCAACTGCAGGATCCAACGCACTCTTTATCGCCTCAGCGGGGGACTTCTTCATAACGGAGATCATAAAATAGCAGATCAGGTAGCCGGTTCGATTTACTCCATGCGTGCAATGAACTCCAATTAGTTTGTCTGTTTGATGGATAAAAGATAATTCAATATACAAATTAATTTCATAATATTTCAAAATTAATTCAGTTTAATAGTCAAGATGATTTCTATACACTTTGGTTATGGCATGGAAAAATCTGCAGATTGCTAACCAATTTTGGTGATATTTCTACCCCGTTTAGAAGCAGTGCCACAGCCTTTCTGCAATGCCGCATGTTGCTGCAAATTGCTACAAATTTCATTGCAAACACGGCCACAGGAATGTCCCTCTCCCCAGCTCCAAGTCCGGCTCCACGCCCATTTGGTAACACCCACGCGGCGAGACCGCAACAGAAAAAAAAACCGGCCTGGCAATTTGGCATAAAAGCAGAAGCGACCTGAGCTAAATCTAGAAAACAGCGCGCTCTGCCAATAATAACATTGGCTATAAATTTCACAAAAACATGCCAGCAGGAGGGATTTGCGAGGGGCTTTTTGCGAAAGGGGCATGGACAACCCACCAGGTCGCGGTGGCCCGCCTTTGTGCACTATGCGGGTGCTTTAGATTTGAGTTCGGGTTCGGGTTTTGGCTTTGGCTTTGGCTTTGGCTTTGGCTTTGGCTTTGGCCTGGTTGTTGGATTCCCTGGTCACTGGCAGCAAGCGAAATTGCCAGTCAGTCAGTACGTCATGTTTGGCTTGCATTTTAGCCAACTTACAGGCAAAACGAAAAACGAAATTAAATTACGAGAACGCGCAGCGCATCCTTGTCGATATGCCAGGCACAGTGGGTAAATTCTTGATTGTTAAACAAAAATTTTACATATATACAAGTATATATTTCGTTATTTAATTTATTATTTTTATATTTTTTTTTTAAAAGTATTTATATTGTTTTTTAAAGTTTAAAAAAGCGATCCAACGTATTTTGAAATAGATTTAAGGGCGAATATCCAAGATAGTTATAAAAAGCCTGTTGTTTAAATCTTTGGAAATAACAATATAAATTATTAACAAGTCAATGCATGATTTTGTCTTTAGTGTATTACTGAATTTAAATCTATTTTTAAACGCAACATAATTGTTATTTAGTAAAGATATAAAGGATAGATATGTGGCTGAAAACCAATATAGAAAAGCTAGCCAATTGCATTTAAATCTTAAGCAGGTCCCACTGTGCTGAGGCAACGACTTCGTCTTGTTTTCGAAGCTCTACTGCCTCATTGGCCGTTGACATGTTGCGACCACCTCGGATTTGACTTATTTTCCTGATTTGTTTCGTTGTAAATATGTTGGCAGCCTTCGCGTATATATTTATTGTTTGCTCTACGCGACTTTCGGCGCCAGATCGTGTTTTAATTGAGCTTTAAGACGGCATCAGAATCTGCTATGCTATTCCTGTCGACATTTTTGCATATTGAAAGCCTAATGGGTTCGCAAATACATTAGCGCAAGATGAAAGTGCTTGCGAAACATTAGGCGTATCCGCGCCCACTAACACAAACGGTTATAGGGCTTTGATTTAAATTTGAATACCCTGTATTTATATAAGTTTACTGTTTTTTAAAAATGGTTATGTTTGTATTAATCTGGGAAAAATATATTGGAAATATAAACCTTTATTTTAACTTCAAAGTAGATAACCCTAAGACAGCAAATTATTACTCATGAAGTTATATGTAAATATTTTATAAAAATCAAATTTATGTTGTATTACGAATTCCTCAGATATAAAGCTGCGATCTAAATAAAGCAAATTGCTTAAAGACATACCTTTAAGGTATAGGACAACTTTTTTTTAACCAATAAACAAAATGAGATTCAAAAACCCTTTGATATTGTTTTAGTTTTTTTTTTTAAGAAATTTAAAACTTTTTACAATACCTTAAAAATTCACTTTTCAATATACAGTAGTTATTGATTCTTTAACAATTAAAGAAAATAACCATACATCGTCATTAATCTGCACTTTGTATTGGAATAATTGTTTTGACTATAAATGGATTTGACATCTACGGTATTTTCTTTTCGGTTTGCCCTCATGCGTCTTGCAATTTCCCTGGATTCGAAAACATAAATGAAAAGCGGCCCGCGGATGGATGGCTTTGAATGCCGTTGTGCATAATTGGAATTGCCTTTTCCCCACACGCGGCATGACTAAGCTCCGTGCTCCTCCGTAAGTGATTTGTTTGCCCGGCTCCCGACTGGCAGACAGCTCCGGCCTGGGGCTCTCCTCAGAGGCCAACCGAAAAACTAACTGACTGACTGGCTGACTGACTGGATGACTGACTGATTGAGTGTGTGCGCGCCCACATCGGTGCGCCAGTTGGCTGTTAAAGGGTTAAATAGAGTATTTCTCTTTTCGCGGCACTTGGACATGTTTGCTGTGCGCTTGCCAGCTGATAGGAATCTCTGGAGGCAGTGCAGCCCGGGATTAGGATACGTGGTAATTGCAGGTGCCCCGTTTTGTGATACGATTTGTTTGCATATTTTGCGGCTCTAATTGTGTGGACAGATATGCATCTGAATCTGCATTGTTGACGGGAAAGCGTTTCCCACGGTTGCATGGCCCAAAGAGCAAGATGTGTGGGATGATTTGTCAACACTCACCATTATCCGCATTGCTCTTGAGGAAGTCGGCCACGAAACCACAGAATCTGTAATGAGATATGGGAGGGATAATATTGATAAGTCGAAATATGTAAAAACATGTTTAAACTAATCAAATGACATTTTTTTCGTGCATAGCTCTAACTACTTTAATGGAACCCCCTCTCTTAAAAGGTATGAATGAAGTTCTAATTACTTTTCTGCCAATCCCTTGTTAGGTGTCTGTTTCCCGGGAATCATCAGCTTCTGGTGACGCACATCGTGATTGGTCAAGGCGCTGGGATGATAATATCGGTTCGTGTTGGTCAGATCGATTATGAGGCCCAGGTTGGGGATGGATTCCAGCAGGGATTCGGGTGCCAGGCGAAGATTCTCCTTTACTTTGGCGTTGACATGCTGAGAAGGGAACAGGGTAAAGCAAATACACACGATATCATTACAATGCGCCGCTTAAAATTACTCAATTTATGCAAAGTGCCCGGGGGGCAGGCAATTAATGAAGGGCGAGGATCCCTGGCGTTATTTAATTAAGCAAAAACAATTTAATTTAATATTCATGTGGGGTCCATGTTCCATGTCCAGTTGCCACTTTTATATATGCATAATTACAATGCACAAATTTCGTCGTCGTTGTCCGTTGTTATTTATTTTTAGAGGGCCCGCTCAAAGTCGGTGGTCCCGGGTTTTCAACATCCATCAATTTGAGCCTCCTGTCGACCGGTTTTTATGGAACTCGGGATCTGAAATTGGATGGGGGACCATATCGAAAACTCACCTGGTGCAGCGGCACCTTGAATGCTATAAAGCGAGTACCAGGAACACGCTTTCCGATCGGTTTGTAATCCAACCATCTATAGTTTGCAAAAAAAAAACATAAATAAAGATTTTAATCCTTTTGAGCATCCTTTATATTGCATATCTGCACAGTACTCACCTATCTGGTATGGCTTTAGCCATTCTTTTGTATGTTTTCTAAGCAATTTAAGCTAAATTTTAAACAAATTTGGGATTTTGTTTATATATCGTGGAAAATGTGTTCTAAATAAAATGCGTGCCCTTGGTGTTGCCAGATAATGCAAAGGTAACATATGCTTGAAGATGGCACTGTTAGTCACACTGCGATTGGTCACGCTTATTTTTAAGGAGCAGTTTTAGGGCTTTGTTATAAAATATTAATACATATTTATTAAAATGTAAATAAAAATTGTTATTGTAATCTTTTCTTACGTCTGTAAATTTATTAACAAAACTAAGTCACGTTGAGATAAGCTAAACAAACCCAATACATAAGCAACTTAGCCACATAATTTCTATTATTTTATAAATTTTATTTTTTTTAATAAGTAATAACAATGCTCAATACTTACAAAAATATATTTATTTTTTGTACTTTCTAAAGATTACATAATTTTCAATTGTTGTCTTTCATATATTTACTGTACCTGCTCGTAACAGCTGCTCTGTTAATTAACATTGCGCCTGTTGAGTGGCCAATCGTACCTAATAAACGGCAAACGCCTGAGTCTGCAAAAAAACCTTTGGACTTTCTGTGATTTTGTAGCCGAGGTAAGTTTTTAATTAAATATTAATGGACTTTAATTAACCAAACAACATTTGTTCTACCCTTGGATAGTTTCTCGTGATATCTAATCCCGAAAATGTTTGCCAGCAACACGCGTAATTTGATGCGCAGCAGCATTGTGAGTGGAAAATATTCAAAAGATAAAATAGCGCAGGCGCTCTTAGCTTAAAATTAAATAACAAATTAATTAACTTTATAATTTGCAGCTGCAGCGATGCAAGAGCACTTTGGTTGTGGCCGAGCACAATAATGAGGCCCTCAATCCGATCACCCTGAATACTATATCCGCGGCCAAGAAGATCGGTGGTGACGTCACAGTTCTTGTGGCAGGCACAAAATGCGGACCCGTAAGTCTCAAAAAGTCTCCATATGGGGCGCTGCATATAAATCTGGGAAGATCTTACCATGTTATGTAGGAAACTTTTGGTCTATTATAATCTAAAAATCGTTCATTCTTAAAAAGGCTTTTGTGAGCAAACGTGGTCCGGCATAAGTTATATAAATATTTTGCTTTAAAAATTATACTTGTATTGATATATTTTGAAATTGTATTTATACCAAGAATTAAGAATTCTTACCGTATAAATTGTTTATCAATGTTTAATATCCCTCTGAAAAGTAGACCGATTCGCCAACTTTATTTAAATTAAACAGAATTGGAATTCTATAAACATTTTTCGTAAATACTTTAACCTAAATTATCATAAAAACTAGTTTAATGGAAAGATTACTGAACATCAAAGTTATTGTAGTTGGAAAATTTCCCCCGATGTCCTTCAAGAAACAAACAACAGGATTGGCTTTGATTCAGTTCCATAAAATCGTTAAACAAATGATATGATTCCACTTTATATTTTAGCTACAGTTGGTATAGCCTAACACTAACCACTCTCTTTCCATTTTTACAGGCTTCCGAGGCTCTTTCCAAAGTAGAAGGCGTGACCAAAGTTCTGGTGGCCGAGAATGCCGCCTTCAAGGGATTCACCGCAGAATCGCTGGCTCCTTTGGTCCTGGCAGCCCAATCTCAGTTCAAGTTTACCCACATCCTGGCCGGAGCCTCGGCTTTTGGCAAGAACGTTCTGCCCCGCGTGGCCGCCAAACTGGATGTGTCGCCCATTTCGGAGATCATTGATGTCAAGTCGGAGGACACTTTTGTGCGGACTATTTACGCCGGCAATGCCATCCTCACCTTGAAGTCCAAGGATGCCGTAAAGGTGATCACTGTGAGGAGCACAAACTTCCCACCGGCAGCCGCCAGCGGTGGAAGTGGAGCCGTCGAGCAGGCGCCAGCTGGAGATTACGCCAGCAGTCTCTCGGAATTCGTCTCCCAGGAGCTGACCAAATCCGATCGTCCAGAGTTGGCCGGAGCCAAGGTTATCGTGTCCGGAGGAAGGGGTCTCAAGTCCGGCGATAACTTCAAGCTGCTGTACGATCTGGCCGATAAGTTTGGAGCCGCTGTGGGAGCCTCTCGTGCTGCCGTGGATGCTGGTTTCGTTCCCAACGATCTGCAGATCGGTCAGACCGGAAAGATTGTGGCTCCCGAGCTGTACATCGCCGTTGGCATCTCCGGCGCCATCCAGCACTTGGCTGGCATGAAGGACTCCAAGACGATTGTGGCCATCAATAAGGATCCCGAGGCTCCCATCTTCCAGGTTGCCGATATCGGCATCGTGGCTGATCTTTTCAAAGCTGTGCCTGAGTTAACTGGAAAGTTGTAAGGCGAGAGATTGTCACGTGTTGTGTAGTATAAAGATACGATTCTGTACCCGTTGAATTGATAACTGTTGCATTTATTTGAATTTTTACATGAGTCCATGGAAGAATTTCCTCTCAAATTTTGTAATAAAACAAGCCGAAGGACCTATTCTATGTGAAGATTGTACAGTCTTATCAGTTGAGAGGGATTGTGCAACTGTTTGCGGTGATTTTTATGAAAATCCAAATCAGGTATAGAGATAATGTGAATTATATTCCTATTTATCATTGCAAACTGCTTATAGTTTGAATAGTTATCTTAATCTTTTTATTATCAAGATCACGTTGTGTGTTTACTTTTTAAGAGCTTTTATTAAAAGCTCTACTAATCAAGCCAATCAATCTGAAAAGCTGTCTAATTAGAAGCAGATTAAAGCTGACAGTACTAAAAAACTTATCTAGTAATAGTGGCACTTTATTCAAAAAATATACCTTATCAAAAATGTATTTTGACTAAACCTTAATAGACACAATTTGTTCAATTTCAATTCGTAAATCGTTGGTATATTTTCGGTACTATCGTGTTAACTATAAATCGCAAAACCATAAAAACTAAAATCAAGCCAAAAACTATGCCTATGACCAGAGTGGTCCACTCCAAAGGATTCAGGCTGTTGGTAGTGGGTAAAACATGTGTGTTAATGCCGCCCTGAAATGGAAAATGCTTCAATGAGTATATATATATTAACAATTTTCTAAAGGAAGACCCACCCAACCGCCATTCTCATTGATCCAAGGCACCAGCTCATCTTCTATCACCTCCGAAACGCTCTCCATCAACTTTGGCAGATATTCCGGATGTCCTTGGCGTACACAATCAACGGATAGTCCACCGGCAATGGCAAACAGCGAGATCACCTTGCTCCAGGTGATCTCCACCCGGAAAAGCTCCCGACCCACAGCGCCCAGTAGCAAACTCACAGCATCCGGAGTGTTGAACTCACCGCCCGGATTTCGACAAATCTGGCGAGCTACTCCATTGTAAACACGCGGATGCATGCGCTCCAGTTCGTCACCCAGCTTAAGTAATGTTTTTATGTAAATTTAAATTTTAATATTTATATTAAATATTTTTAAAGGATGCCTACCACTTGAACTGCTGGAAAAACGTCTCGCACAATGCCCATGGAGGTGGAACCAAGAATGCTACGTATACGCTGCAGTCCAAGCTTTTTATTGAACAAACCCGATCTTCTCAAGCGTCGCTTGATATAATGACCACATAGGCAGCGACCCTTGAGGGGAAAACATATTTATTTAGTATTTTAATTTATATGAATCCCAATCCACCTGCGTGATGATGTCCACCGCTGGAATTTGGGCTGCCTTCCAGCCAATCGTGTAGGATAGTTTCCTGGTGACGGCATCGCTGACATTGCTCAACCTTCGCCGAGTGGTGTCCTTTTGGCCTCCGCCCACTTCCAACAGAGAGGCGGAATGCAAGGTGGCAGGAAAACTGAATTTTCTTCGATTCTGAGCCTGCAACAGACGCTCACTTTGTGTGGTGGCCATCGGAAATCCGTTGCTGAAATTATCGTTATTCGTGGGATACGAGGTGCCGGGCATTTTTCGCAGGCGAGATCGTTCGAGATCCTGCGGGGAATCGCTTATAAGTATGGCAAGATGTGGCATAACTAAACTAATGAATCAACTTAGAGCTAGTTGGAGATCCAGTTATTGTTCCTAACGATCCCCCATGAAGTGTGGAACCGATGCGCCTTGTTATTTCAATTAATTGCATTCGATTTGGCAAATCTTCGCCGCTGGGAATAATAACTAGCTGCTGGAAAAACCAGTCCCACAGTTACATTAAAAAATAATTGGCTCAATATATAAATGTCATGTTTAGCTGATTGAAACGCCATAATTGTGGTTCAAAGCCTAGTGAATGAACTCTGAAATCAGATTACAAGTAAAAAGAACTCTTCCCACGTGTGCAAGTGTTTTAAGATCGTGGCTACACAGAGGAAAATTAGTCAATTTATGTTAGAATGTATATTATTTGTCATTAAAAAATGAAATAAAGTAAAATCATTTACTCATATGTCAAGTTAATTTAAGATTCATTTATAATAACCATATATTTAAATATTTTTCATACTTTTTCATCTGATCTTTAATAATTAAATTTCAAGAAATGTTAAAAGGTTTCTTCTTAAAAGGGATCTTTAAAAATATATAAATATTCTTATTCAAGTTAAAATGTTTTTTAAATTTTTGGAAGTTGAACATATGGATTATTGATCAACAATAAATAATTTTTTAATCTTTTTTTTTGAAGTTTTGGTACTAGATTATTATTTAGATTTATTATTCCTTGTTATGTAAAGACAATTTTTGAATTTTTTGTAAAGAATTGATGTAAAAACCTAATCCCCTTTGGATCTATACTGAAGTACTTAAAAATTATCATTGTTTTTCTCTGTTTAGTTTCCATTATGACGCTCATCGATGACTGTTGGTTTGAGCCTGCCCAAAATGGTCACATTAACATTAACGGACAGATTGTCGGCTCGTTAGGTTTGATTGGCTTCTGGCTAACAGCGATCAGAAAACAGAAATCAGAAATCCGCAATATGGCCAAAATGCTGCTGTGTCGCAGCTGTTGTCATTAGTTGTCCACAAGCGAGATGTCAAATGGCAAATGATTTGTGGGACGATGTGGCTGGTGTGGCGGCAAGTGAATCGAGGATGGAACCGAACTCCGATCAATGGCTACTGCTGACTTTGGCTTATTCCCCGGAGAGCACTTCGCAATTAGCTTTACATAACCTGACCCACTCAACAACGCAGTATTCGTGACCAAGGAAAGTTCGTTGGTACAACAAAGTCGTGTGGAGTTTTGGTTTTTATTTCGGCCAGACTCTCAACCATTAAAAGTGATAGCTGAGAAAGTGCGAGGCTCCAGAATAATTTGGTCACAAATTAATCCAGGTCATAGGAGTCACGCCCAAGCAAACCAAGCGGGGAGCTTATAAAAACACTATCACTTGGCGGCCAATCAGTCAGTTATTGGTCAAAATGTCAACCAAGTGGTCGTCTCTAGTTGTGGCCCTTTTGGCCTCGCTATCAATTCAAAAAACCTACGCGGATGTGTCTCATTTCTTTGCTCCCGCATTGGATCAATTTGGAAACTATCTTCATGGTCAAGTGCCATTTCAAGTGGGACTATCTCCTCCGAATTTATATGGACCTCCAGCTCCTGTTCCCGCAACTCCTGCCCCAGTTACTCCTGTGGCCACCACCGAATTTAGTTTGCCGGAGATTATAGAGAATCGTAGTGTGAAGTTTCAGGGAACTGGACATGGCAGTTTTATACCCCTAAGTCAGCATTATCTGCCGCCTGCCATCGAGGAGCGTCCCAACTACGAAAGTCCCAAGCCAAGGTGTGTTTATAAATAAATTAAATTTAAAATAATTCCTTTATTCACCATTTTTCCTTAAAAAAAGTATAAAAAACTTAAATTTAATAAAACAACGAATTAAAATGGTAACAATTTGAAATATCGCACTATTTAAACACTTTATTAAGCATAAAAATGCTTTAAAAGAATTTAAATAGCTGAGTTATTCAATTGTCAGTGCTAAAGATCAAATTAAGTTAATGATGAAAAAAAAAATATAATTTTATAAGCTTAAATCCTTATGAAATGCATTGCAAATTTGTCATAAATTCATGTTATAGATTTCTTGAATAAGTGTATGTCCTACACTGATCAAAAAAATAAAAGAAAAAATATATAATTTTAAATTAATTGTAAAATTTGCATTAACTCCCGCTTTAGATAAAATTAATGAAACATTATCCAACTTTTTCATTTATTTTGATAGTGAGGAGAGCTATCCAGCTTACTACTATCCCCAACCGCCTGCAGGCAGCATCATTACCACCTCCACACCCACAACTACGACCACTTCAAGACCCATTGTTGTACAAGATCCTGGGGATGATGTCGAGACTATACACTCACCAGGCTACGATTACCATGCTCCAGTGGCGGTTCCCGTTTTCCCCCAAAAACCTTCGACACCGGCGCCCGTTTATTTACCACCCAATGAAGTTGGAAATCAGGATCAAAACCAACTGAGCCTTCGGCTCAAGGACATGCGTTGCCTTTCGGCTGGTTATTTCCGGGCTGTTCTCAAGTTGGACAGCTTTGTGGGAGCAGCACCCACTGTGGATCAGGATAATGATGATCAGCCGGATAAACGCTGTGAAATGAGATTTTCTCGAAGTTTTCTGCTCTTGGATATTTCAGGCGAGGATTTCGAGCGGTGTGGTGTGAAATCCTGTGGCCAGGATCTTTGTCTACGTTTGCGCTTTCCCGCCATCAGAGGGTTAAGAACTGGTGGAGACTCAATCTTAACCCTGCATTGCAAAACCCAAGAGCGAGTGGCAGTCAAAACCCATGCCCTGAAAATGGGCGTGGCTAATGATGTGTAGGATATGGTCTATTTTTAAGAGTTGAAAGTTTTTTGAATTTCTTTTTTTTTTGTTTTACAGGCAAGCTCGCAGTGGGGGAAACTACGCCCATGGTGGAAATCAAAATGCCTTTCGCACCCACGTGGAGTTATTAAGAAAGGGTAGTACTGGGTATACCAGACATTTGGAGAGCAATGGTGCAGTTCAGTTGGGCGAAGAACTTCTACTTAGAGCTCATGTTTTGGCGGGAGATGGTATGTTATCTAATCTAATCAAATTTAAAATTGAATTGTTTTAATAATTTAAAACTCTTAAAAGTGGTTTGACATAGCCTAGAAATTCAGGGATAAACTTAATATATTGTATTACTCAAGCTTCATTGGAAGTATTTAATTGTCAATAATTGGAAGGAAGTTCGAGTAACTCAATATATTTAATTTAATTAAAATTGAAAATTAAATGTATTATTTATTTTGGGTTCCTAAAAGTGCTTTTCCTAGAAATGCAGGGATATACTAAATATATTGGGCTACTCAAAGTGCATTTGAATTATTTAATTGACAATAATTTAAATGAAGTAACCCAATATATTCAGAATTTTTAGATTTTGTTATTATAAATATAGACTTTTAATAGTCTGAAATTAATTAAACTTTCCATTTAACAGTATTGATTTAATGTGGAGTTTCTAACTCCTATGCACTCCCAAAATCACATTATATTTTTTTTAGATGTATGCATTTTACCTTGCTTAAATTTTTCCTATCTTTTTTATTTAATTTACAATTAATCTCTATTGATTTTGCTTTTGAGGACTTTTAATATTATTATTATTATATAATACTTATAATTTCGTTTATAAATCCTTTAATCTCAGGTTGGAACTACACCAAGCTTAGTGATGTGCAATTGCAGCGGATTGCAACAGGAGGAGAAGTACTCAACACGGTTCAGTTGGTCAGCACGAGGGGTTGTCTAAATCCCGCCATGCAGGCCATCTGTGCCCATCCCCCAATTTTGGAACCGCCTCTTGGCCAGCGACTTCACTTCAAGGCGGTCATGTTTCCAGGAATGCGAAGTGGAGAGGTTTTGGTCATATCCATGCGCATCACAGGCTGTTTGGAACGCGAAGATTGCGAAGTGACAAGTCAAGATTGTTTGCCATCTGTGGGTCAACGGAGACGACGGAATGTTTCACATGGAAATAGCACAGAAGTTTCGGAACTCTCCCATCTAACATTCCGTGTAATAATGCCGGGTGAAGCGGATATATCTCCACCGGAAATCGATTTGGAAAAAGAAAATTCAGGAGTCAGAGAGGTCTCCAAATCACTTGCCCTCTTTGGTAGCTTGGGATTTGTGGTTATGCTTTTGGGTGTAGCCATTATGGCTTTATATAAATTTGGAAAGTAGAAAAATAAGGCAAATCTAAAGAAACTTTATTAATTTAAAAACCTAGTTAACTCCTGTTTTTTCCAAAGCCTGATGAGTTTTAGTAAATTAAAAAAGGAAAATCTTTAAAATTTGTTAAGTTTTTTTCTCATTTTTATGTAGGGACGTTATGAAAAACCATTTATGAATTATAATGTCCGAAGATTGTAAAAACAATTTATATTGATTTTATGGCATTTGATAAAACTGTGGTTTCTTGATGAAATTTCTTAAACATTTTATATACAATACTTTTCTTTTACTTTATAAATATAAATGGTTGTGTTTTTTAAAAAGTTTTTTTCTTAATCTTTTTCCTGTCTGCTAAAATTTCATTTTAAACCCTTTTGGTTAAATGATCTGATTTTGATGCTGACCCACCCATTAAAAGTGGTCCACAAAAAAACTCCATCAATGGTATCAGAGGCGCCAATCTGAACCACCTGTCTTTTATCCATCTGTCTGCCAAGCAAATTGACTTATCGCCCCTGTGGAATCAGCAACCGAGCCAATGTTTGCCCATTTCGAGCTTAAAACAGAAATTAGCACTTAATAAAATTTTATTTATGTTCATGTCGCTTGTAATTTGACGGTACCAAGAGTAAAATCTCAAGATAAAAAAATACAAAAAAAAAAACTCAAAAGCAAGTAAGCAAAGCAACTGCTGACTGACTGATTTCCAAACTGCGCGCGCAATTCGCAAATTGCGATCTGCGATTTAGTTATGGCCAGATACATAGCCGGCTGAAACCGAAATTTTATCACGTTTTCACGCTTCGAGCGCGGCTAATGAAACCTCGCTCACAGCCGATTTTTGGCTTTGTTATTTGGTGCAATTTGTTGTCGGTTTTCGTATATGATAATCCATCTGGTGGCCGACAGTTTACGCTTAATGGGCATGAAAATCGCAGCCAATTAGCCGCTGATTTTAGCCGCTTTTGCTCGATGGGTGGTCCAAATGTCTAGAGTTACAATTTAATTACTGCCTGGGGACCGTGAAAGATACGTAGGTATTTCAGAATTCGGGTGAGCGCACCCATAGTAATATAAAGAATTCATTTATTACATTACAAAAAGCCATATATCTTAGTTTTCTTTAGATGCACCGAATTAATACCCCTCTATTATTTGGAAAAATTGATTTCAATATTAAAATTTGAAATCTGTTTTTATTAATTTAATACCTACAAATATTTAAAAGTATTTTCACTACTCCTTAAATAATCATAAACAAGAAAGAAAGCAAACTTCGGCAAGCCGAAGTTCATATACCCTTGCAGCTATTGCAAGAATTAAACATTTTTGAAAACATTAAAATTATGATTTACTTTCGTATATGTTTAAAAACATTGAAGCTATGATGATTTGCAGCTCAATTATATGATAGTTATTTTATATATTTTTATTATTTCTGAGGGAGCTATATGATATAGACGTCCGATTTTGATAAAATTTAAACCATAATTCTGAAATATTTAACCATTGCTATATGTCGAAGAACTACACAAAAAATTAAAAAACAGAAAAGTTATAATTTTTTTCATTTATTTTTCCGATTGTTCCTATGGGAGCTATATTATATAGTCGTCCGACTTTGATGAAATTTAAACTGTAAATCGGAAATATGTAACTATTACTAAATGTCGAAGAACTAAACAAAAAATTGAAAAACAGCAAAGTTATAATTTTTTTCATTTATTTTTCCGATTGTTCCTATGGGAGCTATATGCTATAGTCGTCCGATTTTGATGAAATTTAAACCGTGAATCGGAAATGTTTAACCATTACTAAATGTCGAAGAACTAAACAAAAAATTAAAAAACAGCAAAGTTATAATTTTTTTTCATTTATTTTTCCGATTGTTCCTATGGGAGCTATATGCTATAGTCGTCCGATCCGGCTCGTTCCGACTTATATACTACCTGCAATAGAAAGACAACTTTTGGGAAAGTTTCATGCAGATAGCTTTAAAACTGAGAGACTAGTTTGCATATAAACGGACGGACAGACGGACAGACGGACAGACGGACAGACTGACAGACGGACAGACGGACGGACAGACGGACAGACGGACATGGCTAGATCGACTCGCCTAGTGATGCTGATCAAGAATATATATACTTTATAGGGTCGGAGATGTCTCCTTCACTGCGTTGCAAACTTCTGACTGAAATTATAATACCCTCTGCAAGGGTATAAAAATTACCATAAAATGTTACGATTTCTTAGATTATTTTATTAATTTAAAATATGCGAAAAAAATTAAGAACTGATCGTTTTTAATAACAAGTACATAAAAATGTTTAAAGTTATCTGCAACATTATAAATTATAATAAAGAAGCTCAACTGTGGTTTTAAGCTATTCTGGCAATACTTTTTTAAAATGACCAAATGAATTATATCATTTTATTTGTATAATTTTCCCATCCAACCGAAAATTAAAATATTTTCAATATTATTTTAATTCATTTATACAATTTTGTCATTCAACCGATTACTAAAATATCTGTAATATTTTGCCTGCGAAAAAGTTCCCATTAAAATATGACCTTTTTGGATTTATGGCTGACCTAAACCAGGGGTAAAATGCATTCCCACAGCTGAGATCATCAACAGCTCGGCGAGATGCGAGATGCCCTCAATTGCATCCCCATCTGCACTTGGGGAATGTGGCCCGATGTTTTTTTGCAGGCTTCACCTGCGATGTTGGCTAATTAATAATCCCGACACGTTCCGGCTTGAACACAAATAGAATTGGTGGAAAAGGGGGTTTGGTTAGGGGATAGGGGGGGGGCTTTGGCCAGCAGGCGAGGCTACTTTGTCTTTGTCGCCTAAATGGCAGGCAAAATGTTTGCCGAACATAAATTAATGTCGTCCCCAACTGGCGCTTAAGTTCGTGTTCGGTTTAGCTGCAATCCATGTACTCCGCACTCTATAAAGCGATGTAGAGATTTAAGTCTCCCCTCATTCCATTCGAAAAAGTGCACTTGCCGCGGCAATTTACACTTTTCATTCAGCAGCCAAATCGGCCGAATGGACCAGTGGACCAGTGGACCTGGCCTAAACAATTTTCATGTCTGCTTAAATTATCGACTACTTAGTGCCCGGTTTAGCAATGCCTAATAAATATTTATGAGCGCACTTCATTTTAGTCAATTTTCAATGGACAAGCAAAACGCGACTCTCTGTTTGTCTTGCGGTTCTATGAATGGATCGATCGATGGTCGATGATCGATGTTCATGACTGCAATCGCAGATTTCGCTGTTCATTAAAGGAGGTGGTCAGCTCAAAAGGTTCAAAAAAGGGAACAGAGAGCTGGAGATTAATTAAAACATTATGTTCCCCTTACTCGATCAATGGAAAAATAATTCAATTAAATATTATGTTATTGTATCAATTGGTATTTTATCCCTTAGAAATTTATTCAGAAAAAAAAGAAATACAACTCTTAAAAATGTTGACAATTCTTGTACAACTAATAAATTAAATAACGTGTTGTTGTATCAATTGGTATTTTATTTAGAAAAAAAGAATAAAGCTCTTACAAATGCTGGCAATTTTTAAACAACAAAAAAATTAAATAAAAATTAAATTGAACTAATTTTAAGGTTTTTTTTTTAATTTTTCCAATATTTTTAATTCTTTTTGATAACTGTCAAGTACAATGGATTGTTTTTATCAAATCCTTCATTTCGAAATAATATTTTTAAATTATTGTTAAAATTGTCAATATTCTAAAAACTTAAATAAAAAATATGTTGAAATAATACTCTTGGATTTTTCTATTTTAAATTGATTTATGATAATTTTAGGTGGACTTTTAACTTTTAACATTGAAATATTACACCGATAAAAATATCTAAATATGTTTTGGATTGTTTTCTAACCAAATTCTTTTAACTCAAATAATTGGATTACTCAAAACACTAATTGATTTATGCACAATTAGGGGAACTCTCCACCCCTCCACCAACACGCATTTATTTAATGCTCTCCCATTGGCCAGACTCTAAAAAACGAACTAAATCAACATCTTGGAATCAGCGAGTTGCTCGCACTCATTAGCAACTTTTATTAACCAAAAGTGTCAAATGTTTTATCTCGGGTTTTGGATTGGCCCAAACCGCGTTTGCCTTTAAAAAGCGTCGTTAGCCATTTCATATGATTTTTTTTTTGTTTTGCCAGTTTTATTGGTAGTTCGACTCGTTTTTGTGGGTTGCGTTTTTAGCATTGTGAGCATGTTAACATTTGTGTTATTGATTTTTTACAACATTTGACAGTTACGCAGACGCAGACTCAAATTGGAATTTCGTTGATTTTTTCGTATTTTTCCTGCGCCTCGAATTCGGTGCGCATGACAAACGATTTGGAGCAATTTGACTTTCGATTGGTGATTGGTTAATCAAATCGGAGTTCATTAAATTGCCATTTTATATTTAATTGCGTATTCGATGGAAGGACAGAATCGAATCGAATTATAGGTAATATTATATCTTAAACGACACACAAAATGTTCGAAAATACTGCAATTTATTTTAGCCACAACCGTGCGGTTTTACTGCTTTTTTGATATAGTATTTATTTTTCTTTATTTTCTTTTGTGGTCAACTCGGCTCTAATGAGAATTAAAATGGAAAATAGGTAGCCATAAAACGCCACTGTTTGACATCGTTGGTAATTGGAAATTTACACCACCCTCAGACAAACATTGTTCAGATCATTAACTATTGGTTTTGCACTTTTGCAGCCACCAATTTGCGTCATTCAAATCGAACGTGAACAGCGTTAAAACACCGCGTTTTATGGGGTTATGGGAGGGGGTAAAGGGTTACAGGTGTTTTTCGCCAGTTAATTGCATTATTTCTACAGGCTTAGTGGGTATGGTCCGATCTTGTTTTACTGCGCTAAAACACTTGTGCTGACAGATCGTAATTAGGTTTTGAAATTAATACTGCTTGTCAAGCATGAAGTGAAAAGCAAATGCATAAATTTTACAAAAACATCAAGTTTAATCTATCTGAAATTGAAAAGAAAAGTCTACTAAAATAAAAAATATATGATAATATCCTAATAACTTAAATCAAGGCAATCGCTCAATATTATATACCTAATTTTGCACATCTAACTTTATCACTTATCACATAAACACAGTAAATAAATTAAAATTTATAACTTAAACAATTATTTTGAAAACAAAGATATTATCAATAGGAATTTATGGATTTGAAATGAGTAATAAATTATAAGTAGATAATTAGAGACTACAAACATCTATAATAGCTTTAAAAATAGTAACAATATTAAAAACAAATAAGCCAACGGATGTAAATTGTAAATAGAATATTAGCAAACAAAAGCTTGGAAAAGTTAGTAATGAGTAATACATTTAAAATACTTTTCAAGTTATCATTAAATGATACAAAGGGTTACACAGCTTGTTTATATTTGTTTTCAATCCAACCAAAACCTATCGAATTTCCCACCCAGAGTTTTAAAATACAGCTCCAGTATTATTTTTGTCTTAAAATCGTTAATAATTTCCACCGAATAGACCGACCAAATCAAAGTGTCCAACGCCTTTGTCAATAAACATTTGTCGTTCCACTAATTGCCAACGTATTTTGCCGCTCGGCAAACAAACAAACACACTTAAAAAACGAAGCGAAGAAAAAAAAACCGAAATCATTTATGGCAAAGTCAATTGCGATATTGCCATCTCTTTCTTCGGTGTGGGTGGAAGCATTACGTTGATTATCCAGCAAAAACAGCAACAAAAGCAACAGCATATATATACATTAACCGAACATGCGGACAAAACAACAAAATTTAATTAAATTAAAATTGCTGTTGGCCTTTTTCTCCTTCAGCTGTTGCTTCTTTATTTCGGTTAAAAAAGGGCGTTCAACTCTAGGGTTTTTATTTATATTTAATGGTATTTATTTTCTGATTTATCCATATTTCTCTTTACACGATATTGTCTTGATTACAGTTTTTTACACATTTTTTGTTCACTTGTTTATTTTTATGTTGGCATTTTCGATCACCGAAAGAGGTCATAAAAAAGATACAAACTTTTTTGGCTGTTTCTTGGATTCATTTTCAGTATTTAAGTAAGTATTTAATATTTACATGCACTTATTAATTTTCAAAATTTGTAATGCTAATTGCTCTTTAACATTTTCGTGCTATTTATTTTATCATTTTGTTATCATTCATAAAACACTCTAGTTCTTATTTAATTCTTAACTTTCATTTGGCAATACCGCCTCTTTTACCGGCTTATCACTTATTTGGCAATGGATCGCATTGATACGGATGTTTATCTTTGATTGTCGGATGCGCAATTTGTGCTGATAATATAATTGGTTCGCTGGTTATTATCTATTTTCAATTTCAGTTTACGATGAGCGAATAATAAGGGAGAACTGTTAAATTCCGGCTGAATGGCATGGAAATTACTCAATTACTTATGCGGGGCGCGTACTGTTTGGAAATGGAATCGAAATCAGGTTGCTGAATATTCACGGTCAGTTTCTGTCAGTTGAAGGTTTTTTTTATTTTTTGTAAATAATCACCGGAAACCACAAATAATTATTATTTTTATAAAAAACTAACCGTTTATTTTTCAACGAGGGCAGAAATTTGAGAAGCGTGGCCGAAAAACGCTGCCGCAACGTTCCGAACTCGGCGAAGGCTAAACATAAAATGAAGTCAAATCAAAAAAGCTAAAGCCGAAAAACAAACTAACCGCCTTATCGATAAAAGCTATCGAATTAATGTTATCTCTGAGTGTGACCTTATCTCTATAATGAAATATTTTTTTTTAACTAGTGTGGCAGCACTGTTTATTATTTCTCCGTATTTTGATGTGGCAACATTGATTTTTGGCTCGCAATTGTTTACATTTGTTTTTTGCTAATATCTGCGAATTCCTGCGATTATTAAATATGGCTGATGATCCGGAAAACTCAGTGGATAGGACCACGGACGATGGAGATGCCAACAAACCGGAAAAGATGTTCACTTTGAAGAAATGGAATGCAGTTGCAATGTGGAGTTGGGATGTCGAATGCGATATTTGTGCCATTTGCCGCGTTCAAGTTATGGGTGAGTTCATAACTATTCGCTTTCCAACTTGAATCACTGCTAATAATGCTGATTGTACCCCTACATATGTGATGAGTAAAAGTTTCCCCTTTGGGCAGCAACTTCAGCGAATTAAAATCTTGCTAAATCCATAAAGACAAAGGGAAAGGCAAACAACAACAATCAGCAGTTTATACCCTTTCAAAAAGTAACACCACTTTTAAATATTGAAATTAAACCATTAATGGATTAATTTAGACCTAATTATGAAGTCAAGATCTAAAAGGTCAATAGATATATACAAAGATTTAAATTAAAAAAATAGAACTTATTAAGTTTTCATGCTCACTTTAATTTAAAACCATTTATAAACAAACAAAACAAATTTTTTTTTTTTATTAATAATTGGGTGAGCCAACACAATAAATACTTAAATTAATAAATAATAATGATAATAAATTGAACTTTATGACTATGCTATAGCTCTAGATCTTGTCGTCTTTTTTTTTGAGAACTTAAATAAGAATTACGTTTAACTTGGCAAAAATGTCCACATCGAGCACCTTTCTTAAATCGCTCCTAATGTTATAATTACAGTAAACTGGTGATCCATATTTGCATGTAACTCTTCAAATAAGAAGATATGTTTTCTTTGGCAGCTGCTAGTACGAACTATAGAAATTTAATATTTTGCATTGGTTTTAATTTAGAAGTATGAATTATATATATATATTTCAATTCAAACGATTTTTTGACTAAAGCTTATTAAAAAATCAAAAATTTAATTGGTTTACCATATAGTTGTATAGAGCTATCTGCAAGGGTGTTTAATCCTTAGAACCATACGAAAATTCACAATAGAACGAATGATTTAAATGTTTAAGCCGATTAATATTGTAAATTTTCTCTGACCGTCATCAGCATCGATAATGCAGTTTATTTGCGTCATTCGAAGTGACACAGTACTTGGTGACATAGGCATCAAATTTATTTTTAAACCTATTTAAAAATTGTAAAATCTGATTGCCATTACCAGTTGAAACTGACTCTGTCAATGAAAAGATTGGTTATGCTTTAGGTAACTATATATATATATATATATAAATACTATCTTATATTCCTGACAAGTACATAATTTCTGTAATCAAGCAGCCGATGCACAGATGCTTCTTTCGCAATTGTTTATTCGATTTTGAACTCAACTTAATTAAGAACCGATAAGATTCGAACCTGAACCCCATGTAATGCTCGGCCTTATCGATGCGATTCGGTCGAGTGTCAGCAGAGCGATTTTTGCATTGATTGCCGGTGCAAAAGCGCGCAAATGCGATTCTATTTTTGCATTTCATGTGCCTCTGGAATGGCCATCTAGTCGATTGGCCATCTAGACATTCAATTTATATGTATATATATATGTATACATACATACATTTAGAACCGAATGCGGGGACATGATCGGAATGAAACTCACGTATTTGAGGCGCTGACATTGTTCGAACTGTAAACCGCATTGCGAAGGTCGTATGCAAAGCGATTTTCCCACTCATTTTTTTTTTAGCCATTTTTCGACGAAAGTAAACGTAACTTTGAATTTGGTTTGATTTGTATTTTTAAATTAGACTACATATAGATACACTTACAGCTTAGGTATAGTACAATATATATTCGATATATAGCCAATTGGTGTATTTTCAGGGAGATTTGGGTGTTTTTTGGGTTTCTTCTTTCTTCTTTGCTACAACTAAACTACGATTCATGTCATTTTTTTTACACCGATAAATTCACGCAACATTCATCAAAAATGTCAACAAATTAGTGCTTAAAATCATAATTTACATAATAAAACTATGCACTTAAGGATTATAAATAATAATAATAACAATTATGCGTGTAGAAAGGAAATTCTTTTGCTAAGCATTACACGTTAGCTAGGACTAACAATATCAGAGCGCCTGGATGGGTTCCTTGAAAGATTCCTTTTTTGTCTGCGTTTTTGTTGATGTCAGGATCACCCACTGCTGTGTATTTTACACACACACACAAACACATATCAGTTTCTTAAGCACTAAAGGCACTAGTCTAGTATTTGGTTTGATCGCATATTCAGATCCTTGGCAACACGCCGTTTACATGTTGAAGGACAATGGCTTGATGTTGGCCACCGAGGACATGCGGCGCACACGGCCCATCATCTTCCGCTCGATGTCCTCCAGGGTCTTGCCCTGCGTTTCGGGCACGTAGAATATCACAAAGAACAGGCCGACGAAGCAGATGGAACCGAACAACCAGAAGGCTCCATGGGCGCCCAAAGCAACTGCACATAGAAATTAATTTCAAATTTATAAAAGAGCTCTTTTTTTTTTTGCAAGTTCTTTATGCAGTACTCACCAGTGAGGTCGGCAAAGGTCTTGGTCACCACGAAAGTGCAGCTCCAGTTGAAAGCGGTGGCCACCGAGGCTGCCGATCCGCGAATCTTGGCCGGCAGAATCTCGCCCATCATCAGCCAGGGAATGGGTCCGAAACCCAGAGAGAATCCCAGGATATAGATGACAAAACAGCTCAAGGGCAGCCAACCCAGGTGGCTGACATCCGGACCATGGGCCTTGCAGTAGAAGAAGGCGCCCAAAACGGCCAAAGTCAAGATCATGGCAATGTTGGAGACATACAGAAGAATCTAAAAAACAAGGATAAAGGTAATTAGTAAGGAAGAACTAAAAGAAAGGGCAACAAAACCCACCTTTCTGCCCGCCCGATCGATCAGCACGATGCCAATAAACGTGGCCAAAAAGTTGACCACACCGACAATGATCGTACAGACATTGCCATCGATGGTGGAGCCTGCATCCTTGAATATCTGCACCGTATAGAAGATCACCGCATTGATGCCGCTCAACTGTTGGAAGAACATCAGGCCCAACGAAATGGACAAAGGTTTCAGATTGTTGCGCTTGAGCAACTCCAACATGGTGTTCTGCGTGGCCTGGCGATCGGAATCGGCCTGGGATCGCATCAGACCCTTCAGTTCCGGCTCCACATCCGCCTCCTTGCCGCGCAGCCAGGTCAAAGCCTTCCGCGCACGCTCCTCCCGTCCACGGCTCACAAACCAGCGTGGCGTTTCCGGAATCAGGAACATAAGTATGAGGAAAGGAACTGGTAGAGCTGCTCCCAAAAAGGCCAACATTGACCAGTCCATAAAGGAGCCCGCCACGAAGCAGAGAAGGATGCCAATGTTACCAAAAGCCGTGGGCAAGAGACCCAATGTTCCGCGCACTTCCGGCTGCACAGTTTCGCCCAGGTAAACGGGCAGGGACAACGAGGCAATGCCCACACAGAATCCGGCCAGGAAACGTCCACACAGCACCATTGCCACATTCACCGCACAGGCAATCAGCAGTGAGGATACAATAAATGGCACGGCAGTGGCCAGGATCGTGTTGCGTCTGCCAAGATACTCAATCAGGGGTCCTCCAGCTATGCCACCTGCCAGTCCAGCCAGCGGCATGATGCCACCCACCCAGGAACCCTGCAATAAGATGACAATTTCGAGTGATTAGATAGGATTTAGAAGATTTTTTACTCATTACTGAGGCTTTTTCAATATGAATTTCTTAAGGTTTAGAGCAAGCATATTGTGTTTAGGAATTGAAAGGGTTTTTTTTTAACATTTAAGACAACTCTTAAATCATTTGGAAACTTGTTTTTAAATATACTTTTTTTTGGGAAATCTTGTGTGCCTTAGTACAAATTTTAGCCTTCGATTTTTTAAAAAATATTTGTTGGTTTTTTTTTGGGAAAATTGGCTACAAACCCCAGTTAATGTAAGAAAAATATGAGACATTATACAATTATAAAGCTAGCATTTGTGGTAAAAACTTTGAATATTTATCAGAGTTTTTAAATTATTTTAGAGAATTAGAAGAGTTTGAACTTATGGAATTCAAGCTATTTTTATAAGTTTTTTTTAACTTCAACTACTAATTTTTCTTGTGAAAAGCTTGAGGAGCTCAACAGTTTCCTAGGAAATAGATTATGATCGTGCATTGTACTTACAGCCTCTTTGGTGACCTCAAACGAGGTGATATTCCTATCGGTCATCGACACAAGAGCAGGAGAAGTATAGGCGCTGACAAATCCGACCACAAGGGAGCCCAACGAAACGCTCAAAGCGGCCAGGACCTGGAAATATAAAGGATTTAGATGTAAATTAGTAGGGATTATAAATTATAATTTTCTAAAAAGGAATTTAATGAGATTTTATGGGAAGTTAGGTAGACAGGCACCTGGGAGAAGGTACAAATGGCCTTGGGCTCCTCCACGGGCACGGAGAAGGACACATGAGTGTCCGCTCGCATTAGGATCTTCATTCCGCAGCTGTATCTCTATCTGGTTTTTTGTTCAAACTAAAACCGTTTTTGGTTAGCAACGAGGTTGCAGATATAGCTTATTCAGCTGTAAGCTGGCTGCCTTTCACTTTGCTCCTTGGAATTGGGAATGCTTTCGGCGCGTTCGCTCGTCAAAACTCAACTGAAACTTGTCATTTTGCCCGGGTGCAACGGCAGTTGCATTTTCGCTGGATTTTTGATTTCGAGAACAGTTTTTGCCGTGATTCTATGAGGCTCAGGCACGTACACGAAGCCACCGAGTGCTGCTGATCGATCGATATCGCTTAATGTGAATGAGAGATTCTGTTCTGTTCTGTTCTATTCTGTTCCCAAGCGTTTGATCAAGACGCAGCTTATCAGTTTGTTTTTCCTGCGACAAAGACAAAGGCGTTACGCCGGACTTTGAAAAGCGGTTTGAGGCTGTTTCAGCGAACGTCGCCAGCAGCTCGAGTGCAAAACTGCAACTGCCAAAGAATCGGGCAGAAAAGTTGCAGGTTCAGCTGTCATAGTTTACCTTCTCGAACCCACACACATAATCCATTCTATTCCGATCCAATCCAAGCCGATCCATCCATCCATCGGGCAGCTAGCGATATTTTTAGTCCGGCCATAACTAAATGCGTTAATTTCAATTAAGGC